GACTCCTATACTGATTGAGTGTTTTGGGAGCTAAAGGAGAGTGGGGTCCAAGTAGGTGGGGGCATGAGCCAAGAGAGGATTGTGAGTTACGATTGAAATGATTGAGAGGGCTGGAGGTCACCTGCACATGCTCAGTGGAAGCCAGCTGGGATAGGAAGATGGGTGCCATCTGGTGGCCCAAGTTGGTGCTTCAAAGCTCGCTCTAAGAGTTAGCAAGCAACATTGTCTCCGTGCTACTGCAGCTGTCTCTATGCTGGGGACAAATGTGTGTCTTAAGCCTTAGAGGGGAACTTAACCCTTTCAGCTCTGGACCTCCCACTCTAGTCAATAGACAATAAACATTTATTAAGTGCCTACTATATGCCACGAACTGTTTGCCAGGCACTGGGGATACAAAAAGAGGCAAGAGATAGGCCCTGCCCTCAAAAAGCTCACAGTCTAATGGGAAACAAACAAGAAAACTACTAGGTATAAACAAGCTATATACGGGACAAATGGGCAACAGTTCGAGAGAGAAGGCACTAGAATTAGGAGAGGTTGGAAATGGCTTCCTGGAGAATATGGGACTTGAAGGAAGCCAGGGAAACTAAGGAGGACAGGAGGAGAGCTGGGGAAAACTCATGGAGCTGGGAGATGAGGGTCTTTTTTGTGGAACAGCCAGAAATCCCGTGTCACTGGATCAAAGAGGATGGTTGGGGAGTAAGGTGTGAGGAGGCTAGAAAGGTCCCTGGGGGCAAGTGATGAAGGTCTTTGAATGCCAAACAGGAGTTTGTATTTGACCCTGGAAGTAATAGGGAGCCACTGAAGTTTATCGAGTGGGGGCAGGGTTCGAGGGAGCAAGCTGATGTGATCTGACCTGCACTTTAGGAAAATCACTTCAGTGGCTGAGTGGAGGATGGATTGGAATGGGAGGAGACCTGAAACAGAAAGACCCCCCCCCCCCAGCAACTATTGCTATAACTGCTATAGTCCAGGGGTGAGATGATGAGGGTCTGAATTAGGGTGAAGGCTGTGTCAGAGAAGAGAAGGGAGATGGTACAAAGGTGAAATTGACAGGTCTTGGCAACAGACTGGATATGGGGGCTGATAGTGAGAAGCTGAGGATGACACTGAGGTTACCAGCCTGAGGGACTGAGAGCACGGTAGTGCCCTTGACCATATTAGGATAGTTAGGAAGGAAAAGGGTTTAGGGGGAAATATCAAAAGTTCACTTTTGGACAGGTCAAGTTTAAGATGTCTAGTGGATATCTAGGTGGAGATGTCTGACAGGTCATTGGAGATGGGAGATTGGAGATCATCGAAGAGGTTGGGGTAGGAAAGGTAGATTTGAGAGTCATCAGTATAGAGATGGTCATTAAGTCCACAAGAACTGATGAGATCACCAAGTGACACAGTCTAGAGGGAGAAGAGGGCCCAGGTCAGAGCCCTGAGAGATGTCTATGGTTAGAGGGCATGATGCAGAGGAGGCTCCAGTAAAGGAGACAGGCCTGATAGGTGGGAGGAAAACCAGGAGAAGGTGGTGTCCTGAAAAGCCAGAGTGAAGAGAAGATCAAGGAGAAGAGGGTGAGCAATGGTGTCAAAGGCTGCAGAGAGGTCAAAGAGAATGAGCATCCAATAAAAAGGTCATTGGGTTTGGCAAATAAGAGACATTTGTGACTTTGGAGTTCTGCTGGATTGACAGGTTGAAGCCAGAATGTAGGGGGCTAAAAAAACAAGAGGAGAAAAACTGGAGGTGTTGCGGTCTCAGAGGTTGAGACCCCTCAAAGACTGAAGTACAGGAGGGGGTCATCTGGAATGAATTCACAGACTCAAGCATTCTTTAAGTCAAGGTGGCAAAGATTTATTGTTACGCTTTTCAGCGGGCAAAGATTCTTAAGGAGCCTGCCAGAGATTGAGGATGGAGCTAGGGTTTATATGGAAAAAGGCATGGGAAAGGAATGCCAGGGACACTGATGAGGTAATCCAAAGGTCCAGGTGTCTTTGGGAGCTATGGATGGGAAAGTACTGGGAGTATACCAGACAGGGAGGGAGATGACAGAGGTATGGATCTTTGGAGTCTGGCAGGAGGAAGAGTCCTTGGGCCGCTTGGGCTGGGCAAGGCACCCCTCTCCCTCTGTCTTGATGAGAGAATGCTCTGCTCTGTCTTTCTCACGAGACAGGAACTTACTAAGGAATTGGGAGGCTTCCAGAGACATGACTTGAGGGCTGGGGCCTGAGCGGCCCAGCACTCTCTCACCCAGCTTTGTGTAGCTGCACCAGGGAGAGAGATAAGGGTCGTGCTGGGGCCCATGCACGAATAACTGCTAGGCACAGTGGCCTTGGGCTGGGGAGTGGTTGTCAGAGACAGTGTTTCTGAGGCTAGGGAGAAATTGGGGTCCAAGTACAAGCACAGGCACCCAAGCACCCCATCAGAGGCACCTATTGTAGATGGCAGCCCCAAAGGACAAAAGAGATAAAGGACAATAGTTGTAGGGGATGGATGGATCAAGTAATGGCTTTTTGAAGATGGGGGAGATGTGGGCATGTGTGTAGGCAGTAGGGAAGGAGCCAGTGGTCAGGGAGAGATTGAAGTGATAGAGTGGATAACAGAGGGAGCTCTCTCTCACACCTGAGGAGAGGGTATGGAATGAAATCCATTGAATAGGTAGAGGAGTTAGACCTGGTAAGGAGAGAAGTTTATGGGGGAAGCTAGGTGGCGCAGTGGATAGAGCACCAGCCTTCAAGTCAGGAGGACCTGAGTTCAAATTTGACCTCAGACCAACCACTTGACAATTACTAACTTACTAGCTGTGTGACCCTGGGCAAGTCACTTAACCCCCAATTGCCACCTTCAGGGGTGAAGGAGGAGAGAATGGCCCTAGATGAGACATAACAAGATGAGAAGAGAGAGCTAATGACTAATGGCCTCCTTTGGGTGGGGTGGGGTGCTAAATAGGAAGCGAGGTTCCTAGTTGAGAGGGTGGGGGAGGGACTGGACTATTTCCACAGGCCCTTGGCTTTCCTGATTTGGTGCATAATGCCTCCTGGTGGTCCACCAATTCTAAGCTGACTCCAGCCACGCTTTGCTTTGTTTTCCTCTCTAGCAGCTTTTCTGTGGGAAAATGTGTCTCTTTGCTCCCCTGGGTCCCTGACTCATCATCTCTGTAACTTTCAAACCAAAGTACCCTGGACCACCAAGACCTTATGTGTCTCCTCTCCCCCTGTTAGACTATAAGCCAGCTGAGGGCAAAGATTGTCTCTGCTTTTGTATACCCAACAGGACAGTGGATAGAGTGCCAGCCGCAATCAGGAAGACTGGAGTTCAAATGTGGCTTCAGACACTTACTAGCTGTGTGACCCTGGGCAAGTCTCCTAACCCTGTTCGCCTCAGTTTCCTCATCTGTAAAATGAGCTGGAGAAGCAAACCGCTTCAATATCTTTGCGGAGAAAATCCCAAACAGGGTCACGGAGAATTGGTCAGGACTGAGTAACAACACTAACGATAATGATACATGTAGCGCCTTAGGTTTACAAAGTACTTTTGGCACATATTAACAGTGTATCTTGTTCCGATTCTCTCCATCCCCCCTCCCCTTCTAGTCAGTACGGTAAGTTTATAAGCAGCCGGTAGAAGGGGGCAATAGCAGGAAATAAGATTGGGAAGGGGCCTTCCCAAAGACCAAAGGAGCAGAATTACAAATTGTGTCATATTGTAACCAAAATTCGCGTCCTGTAAAGTGTGCTGAATCAGCGGGAGCCATCGGGGCGCTGCCCTCAGGGTTCTTGGTCTGCCGATATATGAATCCCAGACGAATTCCAGACAGACCAGCAGAAAGGCGATCTGGATATGTGATGAACTAACCCAAGGTGGCAGAGATAGGAGTCAGTCCTTTCCCCCAAAAAACCCCAGAAAAAGGCCTCGTGTCCCAGAGCCCTCCTCCATCTCCCTGGGCGCCGGGCTGCTCAGCGTTCCCCGCTCTAATCTCTGCTTGGGGGAGTGACTCCCAGCCCCTCCCCATACCCCTCCCCCCTTCCTCCAGCCTCCTGTCTTCTGCCTCCGTACCCCTCTTTCACTGCTTGTCTGTACCTTCTGTGTGTGGTTGCACCCCCACTTCCCGCTGCCATCCTGTACCCCAGCGAGTACCCAAAGAACCAGGCGAGCCCGCCCTCATTTCGTAATTTCAAAATTTCGTAAGTTAATTATCAATTCAAGTGCTGTAATGTGAACAAGTCAGTGTTACGAGAAAGACACTTGTCCCAAGTCTGTCCCCTCCTCGGGTTCTGGAAGAAAGGTACGAGAGCAACTTTCGGAAAGGGCTGAGCAGGTCACCGCGCGCGCCAGCGCAAACCAGGGCTCCCTTCACGTCGGGATCAATGATTCATCAAATCAGTGGTGAATCACATTAATCACATCCGCGTTGATTGACTGATTGACGGATGGATGGACGGATTGATGGATTGAGGGATTTAGAGTCTGCCCTCCCCCCAGACCCTCTGAGATCCCGGAGAGTTCATCCTGAGCTGTCTTTTGTCCTCTGACTAAGATGCCTCGAGCCGGTCCACACCCGGGGAGACGCCGTCCAGCGCTTCCAATAAAGGCTCGCTCGGGTGAACTCACCCCGGGAAGAATCTCCCCGGCCCGCCCCCGTCCGAGGGCGGCGAGCTGAACGGGACCGAATTAAGCGGAACCAAAAGGAAGGGAATCCAACCGGACTGAGCAGAAGAGAACTGACTTCCTCGAAACTGCTGCGATCTCAGCAGGGATCGGTTTGGAGCGGAGGAGGGGTGACCCCCGCCCAGCCCACTGGGCCGGGCCGAACTCTAACTCCCACAAGCCCCCGGGGAAGGACGCCACCTCCCTTCCGGGCCATGTAGGCGGGGGGAGGTGGCGGAGCCGGCCCGGTTGTGGGGGGGGGGACCGTGACGCCCTCACGCACAGACGCACGCCCTCAGCCAGACCCGGCGGGCGGGCGGGGGGACTCGGGACGCGGGACGCGGGACGGGGACGCGGGGCGCCGGCGCCCGGGCCGGGGCCGCCATGGCGGCTGTGTTCGATATCGACCTGGAGACCGAAGAGGGCAGCGAGGGCGACGGCGAGCCGGAGCTCAGCCCCGCGGTAAGGCGCCCGCCCGCTCCTCTCTGGGCCTCAGTTTACCCGTCTGTGAAGCGAGGGCGCCGCACTCACATGCTCCCTGCTCCCTGCTCCCCGTCAGCCGGACGGACCCTCTGCGTCCGCAGTCCTGGGGGGAGGGGGCGGAGTCTGCGCTGACAGCCCGCGTTCTGAGGTCCCCCAGCGCTGACCCTCCGAGTTCTGCGTTCCGAGGTCCCTCCCTCCTGGGCGCTGACACTCCACGGT